GCACCTGTAGTTCCAGCTACTTAGGAGGCTGAGGCTGGAGGATCACTTGAGCCTAGAAGGTCAAGGCTGCAATGAGCCTTGATTGTACCACTGCACTCCAGCCCAGGTGAAGGAGCGAGACCCTGTCAAACAAAAAACCCAATTAAAAAAAAAAAAGGGGGGATTAAATGTGCTAGGCTCACATTTGTAATCCTAGTGCTTTAGGAGGCTAAGCTGGGAGTGTCCCTTGAGTCCAGGTGTTCAAGACCAGTCTGGGCAACAGGGTAAGATGCCATTTCTAAAAAAAAAAAAAAAAATTAAGAGTGAAAATGATATGTAAGAAATATAAGATTAAGAAGCTAAGTATCAGATTGTTGAGTGAATCTCTCAGTGTATTTTTAAACATTCTAATGAGACTTAAGTGACTATATTGTAAACAAACATTGGTTTTATGTACACCTGTCAATATGTGTATGGATTGCTATAGACCTCCTTAGAGAAATGTGATTGGCTCTCATTTATCCACATAGGTATTATTGAGTTCGTCTTTTATCCCAAATTCATTTCTCCCTGCCACTTAGCACATCATGGGTCTCCCTACCTGAGGCCCTGTGAATTCACTACTGACCTCTGTGTCTGGTAACGTTTATTCCCTTCTCTGTGCAACTTCTGTACTTGGGAACCTGAAGTGTAGTTGGAGGGTTTGTTCACATTGCATAAGAGTCTCTAACATTATTTGTTGAACCTCACAGAGAGTTTTTAAGGAGGAGGAAGTTGACTGAGTTAGGACTCAGTAACACCAGCTAATGATCAGAGTGACCTTCCCCAGGAGGCCTAACAGTGACAAAACAAGAATGAAGGATCTTTTGCAGGACTGGCCTGTTCTATCCACAAGACTCCCTTAAGGGAACAAAATGAAGACAGGTTCATCCGTAGGTCAATAGTTAATTAAGAAAGCTCTGAGGAATGCACAGTGTATGTAAGAAGCAAAATATACAAGTTAGTAGCTAGAAACAGGACTCTAATCTAATTGTAGCATTTTGAACTTGGCAGTCCTCTAAAAGTATTCTTTAAGAAAATAATTGAACTGGTAACTTCTGTAGGTTGATTTTGTTG